TAGCGACCTGTCCCCTGAACTTTCACCCAGCTAATACCCTGTTCTGAAAGATATCTGTATTTCCCCTGAACACCCACACCCGAGTGTCATCCCCTTCCCCACGTACTGCCTTATTGTGTTTATAACCCCTGTGTGAATAAATAAAAATTACGATCTGAAAAAAATAAATAACTTTAAAAAAAATTGTCATACACCAAAAAAAGAAAAGGAGATGACAATGTACTCTTTATTGGGGACTCATATTTTTACATGCTCATTATAAAACTGAATGTTATATTGAATTGGTTCATGATGGAAATCCACACAATGGGAAGGACCAAAGCTGTTTACACAACACTGTGTTCAATTACTTAATCCAGATAATTTCACTAATATTTGGGTTCAGAACTATGTGATCATAATCAAACAGTAAGTTGTAGCTGTCCTGTAATTTCTGCTAGGAGCAATGGTCACTTGCTTCTGAAATTTAGAGAAGACAATAACATGAGAATAAAATCCCCACATTGTGAAGCCAATTTTTTTTTTTTTAGAGTATGTTGATCAAAACAAAAAACAACTAGTTTAGTATGCAGAGGAGAAACAAATGAAAACAGGGTAATCAATCAATGTCCTCAGAATGACTGTCATTAACATTTTAATTACCAGAGTGACTGCCAACAGGTGACCTGAAGGTTAGACACAGGATGGACTACTCAAAAACAAACCAGTAATTAGTATTGCTTACAGAAATACTAATTTGAATATAACCAACAATTCCAGTTGAATATAACCAACAACTCTGCATGTGACACGCATTGAATTCTTTTTATTTTATTACCCTCCCCCCAAGACAGGGTTTCTCTGGGTGGCCTCGCTGTACAGGAACTCACCATGTAGACCAGGCCTTATCCACCTGTCTCTGCCTCCTAAGTGCTGGGATTAAAGGCATCTCCTGAGTTTTCCTTCATTTCTTAATGCATAATTACATAAGAACAGAGCAAGATACTTTCTAGTATTCAATAGTTTGTTCCCCTTGCTGTTCAGAACCCTTTTCACAGATAAAACAGTAGCTAGGACCTGAACCTAACAGACAAGGGCTGTATAGTAACAAAACCTACTCTGCAGTCAGCCATCCAGAATCAACAGACTAGCTACAGCTGGACTCCACACGAGCTGGTTCACACCAAATGGCCTATGAACTCTGCTCAACGGTCAAGTTAGCAGATGTCCACTTAAAATGTCTGCTTGAAACAGGTGCGGGAATTCAGAACAAGTAGATTCATGTCACTATTTAAATTGAGGTCAGGGTAAAGATGAATGTGTTAGGAAATATAGTTAAGCCAAAACCAAAGCAAACATCCCACAAAACTGAGGCAGAAGGATGACGACTTTGAAGCTGGCCTGGATGACGGGGTCTCAAGCCAGATTGGGCTATAGATACCTTCTAAAAAATTCAAAACAAAACACCCTCAAGTATTCTTGAATAATAGTTCAAGTCTTAATATCTTTACATTTAGAGTGTGTGCATGTGTGTTTGTGTGTGTGCGTGCACCTGTGTGTGCCCATTACACATGTATAGAGGACAGGTTTCTGGAGTTTGAAATCTAGGGTTTGTCAGTCTCAGGACAGGTGGGCCAAAGCAAGCACTGCTTCAAGTCTTTAAGCAGAGGTGAAACCATCACCACCCTCCACAGCAGAGTGGCAAGAGGAAGTGCCTCTGGCAGGGACTGACCAGCAAACTTAGCTGTCCATTAAGGTCTGTCCGTTAAGGTTCTGTTTTCAGTTTAGTGGGACAAAACAGTCTCACGCTGTGGTTTTCAGGTAAGTATCTTAAGTTAAAATTCTGCGGAAGCCACAGAGCTCAGGGGTGGCTAAGCATTTACCTCACACATGTGACATTCTCAGTATACTCTCCCCCCACCCCACCCCAGTAACAATAATTCTAATTTAAAGATTAGAGCAGGATGCTTTACTTCCAGCACAAAAGCAGCTCACACTTGCTGGGGCACACCAGGGTTAGTTCAGATGCAGACGTGGCTGCTCCAAAACTAATTTTATTTTAACGCTCAGATCTTTCAATTCTGGTTCTTTCCCATTTGACCTGTTCCCTCTAATGTAAAGCTGATGCACCTGGGCTATAGTGCAAGGGAAACACATGGCTAAATCTCGAAGGAAATTAATAAAAACCACGGATAGTTATTAAGTCAGTGCCACCTCACCTGCCATCGCTGTAACTAAGTGTCACTGGCTAGAAGTCTGCTTAGGAGAGGGGACCAGGGAGGAGGACTTGCCACTATACAAAAGTTGTTCAGGTTATCAGTCCAGCCATTCAATCCAGGGACTCTGATCAGGGTCTGTTATTTTTGTCTTGTGTTAAACATGCTGTCACTTTGACTACGCTGATTGGTGCGTTTTCAACCCATGAGGGAAAAATGGACTCAAATGTTTACACTTTAATTTCTAATTTGAAAAGTCCAGATTATTCCAGAAAACAGACCAATGCAACGGAGGTAGGTTTTTTGCTGTTGTGGCTTTTACATATTAAGAATGCATCCTGTCACTATTTGAGTTTTTAAAAAATTACTACAGTGCAAAAAGACAGGATTGCTTCACTATCTGGCTGGTGTTGAATTTCTACATCTGAAACTACTTGATCAAGTGAAACAGTGCTAATCTATTATTTAATGGCTCTCAGATTACTTGAACACACACAGCCCAGCTCCTTCCCTTCCTTCCCAACGCAAGCGCATTACAACAAAACTGCCAGGAAATCTGGAATGAAATCGATACAGCAATTTTCAGTTAACTCTTGTTAGCATCGGGAAGGCACACCGAGCTCATCTGGGAGGACCAAAGTTCTTGTTTTTAAAGTGTCACAAACCTATCAGGACATTGGGTACGCTTTATTATACCACAAACTACCAGGAAATATGAAAAATATTGATTAACAGAACTAAATTTTACAAATCTTTGTACTTCACGGACACCAGTCAAGGCGTCCAGATCACTACGCATAGACCTTATCTGTTAAAAATTCCTCTGGGCATTTATTACCTTTTCACTTTTTGGAATTGGGACCTCTAACCTGGGCTAGCTCAAAACTCACAATCTTCCTGCCTCTGCATTCTGAGTTATGGCGTTACAGGCGTGAACCCCGTGCCTGGCTCTAAATCCCAACTGATGAGCAAAACTGTTGATTAGTATTGTTTTAACATGTTTATAAAAGACTAATTTAAGAATAAATCTAGCTGGGCATTGGTGGCGCACGCCTTTGATCCCAGCACTTGGGAGGCAGAGGCAGACGGATTTCTGAGTTCAAGGTCAACCTGGTCTACAGAGTGAGTTCCGGGAGAGCCAGGGCTATACTGAGAAACCCTGTCTCGAAAAACAAAACAATAAATCTAAAAAAGAGAATCGTAGTAGGTCATATATATTTTTCAACAGTGTGTAAAAATCTGTATGTGGAATAAATACATATTTTAAGGACTTGGAGGAAGGGCTCTAACGAAATGCTCCACCACACTACCAGGCTTCTGTATTCTGCCTAAATAAGTACACCTGCTGGCATTGTGGTACAAAAGAAAAAAATGTGTTGAAAACCCTCATTAAGTGACTTACACAGACGTCGAAGTAGCTCAGTTTTTAAAAAACTTTCATAGCTGATGTAATTTCTTTTAAAGTGAAGTTAAATGTGCCTTTATGTACAAATTTAAAAAAATTTCAAACTATATCATTGAAAAATGACTATACTAATGTAGTCTACGTGTCTTAGTCCGGGTTTTACTGCTGTGAAGAGACACCATGACCAAGGCAACTCATAAGGACAACATTTAATTGGGGGTGACTTACAGGTTCAGAGATTTAATCCATTATCATCAAGGCGGGAGCATGGCAGCATCCAGACAGGCATGGTGCAGGAGGAGCCGAGAGTTCTACATCTTCATCTGAAAGCTGCTAGCAGAATATTCACTTCCAGGCAGCTAAAAGGATCTTAAAGGATCTTTTAAAGATCCTCTTTTTGAGGATCTTAAAGCCCACGCCCACAATGACACACTTCCTCCAACAAGGCCACGCCTCCTCCATCAAAGCCACACCTCCTCTAAAAGCACACCTCCAAATAGTGCCACTCCACGGGCCAAGCATATACAAACTATTACACCTGCGTAGTCTTTTGACAACATTTTTACAGCCTCTGTTGGTAAGCAAGGAATAAGGCAACAGAGATATTTCTGCCATATACCTAAATGATGACCAAAGAGATGAGTTCCTCATAGCCTAGCGGGCGGTGGAGCCTGGCACAGTACCTTGATGTGTAGGCAGCAGATCACTGTTGAGGAGGCCGGGAGAACGGCTAAGTTAAAGGGGAAATGTGGGAAAGTGAGTTCCAACTCCAGTGACTTTAGTGGGAAATACAGACGGAAAGATACAGCAGCTGCTGACCCGAAAGCTACGTGACTTTGGGTCAGCAGCTGAGGGGCTGTAGCAGTGCTGAAAACCAAACAAGGTCTAAACCACGCCTCTCCAGGAGGCGTGGAAAAACAGCAGGATTCCTGTTTTTCTGTTCAAGTAATTCCGATGAATGATCAATCTCGGAACTTCTGACGTGAGGAGTGGGGAAGACACTTGTGGAGAATGAACACATTTCTGGAAGATGTCGTCAATGTGTATCACTACTCCACACTCCCCCCATCCCCCCAACTGTCTTATCTTTCTTGGTTTTCCACAGTAGATCAATGAATGGGTTTGGGAGTCGAGGAAACTGGCTGGGAGGGTTCCCGATAGGGTTTACTGTTCTGAATACTGACGGATTGGCTGTCAGTATGTCCTACGGAAATTCACCTACCCAGGCTGGAGATCAGCTATCCGGTCTCTCAGTGGTAGAGTACTTACTTGCTGGGTTCAGTTCCCAGAACCATTAAAGAGGGATGAAAAAGGAAAGAGATTCAATGGGGTCGACGGGGCATCCATATGTTAAGGAAAGAGGAGGGTTCTTAATATGAAAACACGACACAAAACAACCGTAAATACTAAGGATATTTAATAGAAGACAACTTTATTTTATAAATCTTCAAATATGGTTGCGTTAAAATCTTCAGTGTTAGGATTATGGGACTATTCTCTCTTGAGAAAAGGGCATCCCAGGGTGTCTCCAACTCAGGAATCAGCTGAGATTATCCTGTCGTATCTCTGCTTACGCATGTTGACATATGTGTACATATTTTATGTGTGAAAAAAAACCATGTTGGTTCTGATTTTGAAGCACATGCTATTAACAGCATCAATTTTCTTCTGCAACACTGAAATTGTACACAACTTGAGGCCTGAAGAATAACAACTTTTTAAATATCCCATTATTTACTAGTAAACTCTAGAGCAATGAGAGAGAGAAAGAGAGAGAGAGAGAGAGAGAGAGAGAGAGAGAGAGAGATAGTACCTATATAAGAAACTATACATTAACTTTTTTCAGAAGTTATTGAATTTTTTTTCCAATATTCCAACACAAAATAGTAATTTTTCACTTACTATAACACAGTTCAAGTATTCTCCTAAGTTTATATTTAGCCAACTAGGACATATGAAGTAACTCTGAAAAATAGCTTTCCTCTGAACAATGACTGCTATGCAGAATAGTGTATCTATTACTACTGGAAATCATTACAGCATGTGGAAAGAAGAGACAAGAGCAGATGAGTCTTTATGAGTAAGTATTAACACACAGAAGGCCGCACGCATTGGTAATAAGGCATCTGTAGGCAACTCCCCCAAGTATCTGAATTCATGTAAACAAAGACTATGCATATTCCTTTAGGGAGAATATGTGCTAACATAGATAAAATATATGCAAATGGCTGTTACTTTGAACCATATATTATCTGAATATCACACAAAACCAAGAGGCATTACCTATCGTTTTAATAACTGAAAATGTTACCTCTATGTGAAATACAGGGTTTGTACTTTTTAGCCATGAAAAAGAGTGAATCTTGAAAAAAAAAAATCCACGTGTTTTTCTAGAAATAAATATACAGTTCTCTCACTGGAATGAATCACAGGCGCCTCAGCTTTGTCTTAGCCATGACATTCATCAGTAGTTTGAAAGCAGGTTTCCCACGCCGAAGCCTTGCGTCTTCTACCTCGTCAGCTGCCCAACGACCTTCAAAAGAGTTTTATTTTCCTGCTTTAGCTGTTCGTTTTCATCTTCCATGTCATCTAGGTCCTGGGGGGCAGGAGGGATGAAGAAAATAAAAGGTTAGAAATACTGAACAATACTGCAAAGTGGACATAAAGCACAAGGGTAAATCACTTATTCAGTTAACTCTGGAGGGATAAGTTCTAAACATTACACGAGAATATGCCCTATCATTACTTGAATGGGTCAGTTCTCTTGAAAAATTTTTTCCCCTCAAGGTTTTAAAATTGTGAACACACTGTGTGTGTGTGTGTGTGTGTGTGATTTCTAGCATCAAATACACAGCCATATAGTTAGTACTAAAACCATCTTAAGTTTTTGAGACATGTATAGACTTACCTTTGCAGTTTATGTAGACTTATTTTTGCAGGCTACAATATTAAAACTTGACAAGGTCTACCACCAGTGCAGCCTTGTTGTGAGCTTACGCTTTGAAGTTGGACTGTCAGGAAGACGGTTAAAACTTTAGCAAAGTACAGAACTAGTACTTATTCACAGACTGAAGGATGCCAAGGAACAGATCTGTTCAAACTATTAATTTAAATGAAACGATAAAATGCAATCATGTATCCTTGCCAAACTATACCCTTGATAAAGATTCCTAAAAATTTCCAGTGTTAAAACATAGTCATGAATCATGACTAAATTATAAACGTAGGAAGAGGTTTTCTGATTATTTTTAAATGCTCTCGGCGTCTGAGAAAGCACAAGCACATTATAAGCGTCACAAATATTTGCCCAGCCTCTTAAAACTGAATTCCAGCACAAACAGAGACATGCTTATACTAGGATCAGGATGAAAGACTACAAAAGACCCAAATCAAACACTGCCTCAGCCATCGACTACATGCAACCTTGAGCAAGTTAAAGGGGGTACCCCGTCCTCATCTATAACACACAGCTATTGTCTTTGGGCTGCATTACAAGAGGCCTGCACGCAATGAGGCCCCTTCCTTCTGTGTGGCACATGGGCTCAACCCATGGCACTGCAAGATGGAGGCAGGCACTTTTACCATTTAAGTATTCTGTGCTTCGGAGTTAAGATTAGGTTAGGGGACTGAACCTTTTCCCTCTGAGGCAAACTTTTCTTTCCTCCACTTCAGACAAAAAAAAATCTCATAAAAAGGCAGAACAATGGGATCTTTTTTCATCACAATCACCTTATTAGATGCTTCTGGCTTCAGGCAGGAAGTAAGTTCTAGGGCTGAACTGAAAAAGGAAAGGCTCCAAATCGAACACTGCTGGGGACATCCTAAGTATCATTGGAAGTAGTGTCGAAAATACAAAGCTTACGAACAGCACGATAGGTCTCACCATTAATGACGATTGTCTTATTAACCAAATAGGCAATGAATAAGTTCTTCACCCTTGCGTGCATTCATCCAATGACCAAAAAGAGGAAGCCAGGAATTGAAGTACAGAAACACTTACTCTATTTAACAAATCAATCTCTTCCTTGAGTTTTCCAATCATTTCTTCTTTATCTTGCATCAGCCTCACAAGTCGAAGGTTTTCTTGCCTTTCTCTTACGACTTCCTAGAGAATAAATCGCAAAGCATCAACAGGCAACTGGCTGGTTACAGCTTTTTTTTTGTTTTGTTTTTCAAGACAGAGTTTCACTGTGTAGCCCTGGCTGTCCTGGAACTCACTCTGTAGACCAGGCTGGCCTCAAACTCAGAAATCCGCCTGCCTCTGCCTCCCAAGTGCTGGGATTAAAGGTGTGCACCACCACCCACCCACCCCCACCCCCTGGCATGGTTACAGTATTTTAAAATGGTAAACACCTGTCAGTAACAGCAAGACTCCAGACATTAGCAGGGCCTCTTCCAGCCATATCTGACACTGAAGACATGACGGTGATAATGACAGGCAGACAGACAGACGGACAGACAGATAGACAGGGAGGCAGGCAGACAGACAGACAGACAGACACACACACACACACACACCAAGTTTGTAAAGGAAGAAGAGAAGAACACACAATTTTTTAAATAGCAAAATTGCAAACTTTTTGTGAATTAAAAAGGAGAGGGTGTGATTTTCTGCTGTCATGGTTTTCCTTTAAAAGAGGTGGGGTGGACCATTCATAGTGCCAAAGTTGGGAGTCTGAGGCAAGAGGATTTCTTGAGCTTAGGAGTTCAAAGCTAACAGGAGCACCAGAACAAGATCCTGTCGAAACAACAGTTAGGTGTATGGTGGATCAGGAGGAAGAGGCATTTCCTCTAGAGGTGTAGTCATTGGTAAGATGCCCTGGAGCCTGTGAACAACCCGAGTGGAACTCACTCAGACACTCCAGAAGTGGGGCAAGTTGGGAAGGGGACTTATGGAAGTGCTGGGGGTCGGGGGTAGGGGAGAGAAGACAAGGAACATGAGTGAAGAAGTGTATGTACTTACATGAAGTGTCACGAGGCCTGCTAGTACATATAATTAACATAGTCTAATAAAAGGAACCACCTAGGAGATGAAGAAAGCACACCTCTGGGCATATTTATATGGAACAAAAAGAGAAGGAAGTTCGGAAGCACAGGCTTGCTTCTCTTTGCTTCCTAACAGCCAGGAGGGGAGCATCTCTTCCCTCACGTCCATGCTTCACTGAGGACAAGAAACCAAAGGGCTGGCTGATAACAGCTGTAATTCTAAAACTGTGAGCCATGACAAAACTTCCAAAAGAAAAACAACAACAACAACAAGTCCCTGCAAAGTATCTTACTCAGAAGACAGACAGACCTAGAATATACTGTCCTGACTGAGGGAATGTAGTCTCATAAAGACAGAAGTCATACCTTCTCTCTCGTTCACAGACCCCAACTTTAAATGTATGGAAACAGGAGTGTGAGAGTCAGCTGAGGTTATGAAACAAGGTATCAGACCACAGGGGACGATGGTTATTCGACAAAAAAGCAGACACGCTATGGAGGATGGGAGGGTCCAAGGGAAGAAGGGAGAATAAGGAAGAAAAGTGAGAGAAGAAACAAACAAAACAATACAAATTTTGATTCCAAAATGCCATAATGAAACACGATGCTTTGTAAGCTAATAAAAAATGCTTTTTAATTAAAAAAAAATCATTATTTAGAAGTTTTTTAATTCAAGGCCTCTTGCTCATTGTTTTACACACCTATGATCCTAGCTCTTGGGAGGAGGAGGCTGGCAGATCAAACAGACCCACGATCATCTTCAGTTAACTGGACTGTGTGAGACACAGTACTGTCTCAGTAAGTCTAGAACAGACAAAGACTCCAGGACCTCCTTGGAGAGCTGGAAAGGTCTCCAGCAGGACTCCCTCCCTTCTGAAACCTCAGAGAAAGCAGCAGGCTACCCAAAGCCATCATAGGCTGCCTGTCAGGTCTTCTGGAATGTCCCAAGTCTTTCGGAGGAACTTGTTGAAAACTTAATAAAGTATATTCTCTAAGCCTTTATATTTAAATAATGATTCTGATCAGAAACAGGGATTAAAGCCTAAAAGCAACCTAAAGATCACCGCTGTGGAAGCAGCAAGTCCAAACAAATAAATCTCAAAATAATCTTTGTGTCCCAGGGAATAACTTCCATTCATTAAAACAGAACATATTCTGACCAAGTGGGTCAGCGCCATTAGCAGTTTCAGATGCGTGTCCCTGGGATACACCTCAGTTCTGTGATTTTTCTGCTATGTTCATGTGAGTTGCTGTGGAAACATCTGTGAGCAAGTGTATCCTATTCTTACATGAAAATGGTTCAAGTACCAAACAGAGGCCTAACTCAGAATGGCTGCGAGGTCTGCACCAAAGGTATGTTCAGACAATGGAGTGCAAGGTACAGGCTGACAATGCAAACATCCAAGCTCTGGAAAACACTGCTCCTCAGACTACGAGTAAGATGTGACAGAACAGGAATGGCTACAGAATCGAGGAGTTCAAGTGGACAGAAAAGCACTGAAGGAGGAAGTGTGTGTGTGTGTGTGTGTGTGTGTGTGTGTGTGGCGGGGGATCCAATCGCCAGGATCTAGGTGCTAACGCACAAGATAAGGAGTCCAAGCTGCATCTGGAGTAGAACTGGATGTCCCCAGCCTGGGTGTCCCACCTCCCTTTCTGGGCATGATGCCATGAAACTGAGAGAAGAATGCTAAAGTATGTTAATTTAATTTTGAATAATTCATAATTCATACTTTTTCGAGATCTTCAATTCTCTTCTCCAAGGTGCTACTTGAAGCGAAGTTACCAGGTGCATTTCCATCTCTGTTGTGTCTACTGAAACTGCTTCTGTCTGTTCGGGGATATCTATTTGAGATTTCATCTTCTGGGGCACTGGCTGAGCTGTGGAAATAAAAGCGAGTATTATATAAACATTCCTAGCACCCTAAAAAAAAAAATGTCAAGGCTCTTTCCTCTTTAGTCTGAGCAAGTAACACTCCCTGAGGACACGGGGAATTTGTTTACAGCTGTAGAATTTAATCTTCAGTCTAACACAATGGGAAGAAAAATATAAAAGCACATTAATTGGTTTAGCTAATTCCTAAGAGGCTGGTAGAGTCAGGCACTGTTCTGGGTCCTGAAGATGCTGATGGTAACCCCAAACTCAGTTGTCCTTTCTTTCAGCAGGGTATGCCTCCAAGGTCAATATAGTAATCTGACCACCACTCTGCAGGCAAGGCCAGACATACCAGGGACTGGAACAGAATGGATCTCTTAGATATCTGTGGCGAAATTTGCTTCTCTTTCTTCTTTCTTCTTAAAAATGTTATTTATAGTCAAGCTATGGTGGCACACACCTTTAAGACCAGAACTACAGAGGCAGAAGCAGACAGATAGATATCTGAGTTTGAGTCCAGCCTGGTCTACAGAGTGAGTTCCAGGACAGCTGGGGCTACACAGAAAAACCCTGTTTTCAAACAAACAAACAAACAAACAAGTAAATGAAAATGAAATAGGCTTTCATTTTCAGAGTTCAATGTCTCATTTAAAATTCCAAAACATAAAAAATAAAAAAAGTGTAATAATTTGAAGGGTAAAAAGTAAAAAACTGCATAAAGTTGCCTATTACTAACTGAAAGCCTGCATGTACGCAACTACTTCCACTCTGGTAACTTTTTAGCCAGCACTTTCTCAAAATTAATCACTAACTTACAGCTGATCAACAGCTCTGTCAATATTTGAAGTGTTCAATGGAACAGGTGATGCTCTGCTCTCTGAGTATCTTCTACTACAATAAAATCACCCCCAAACTTTATGGCTTCAGATAACACACACTAATTGATTAGTTTCTGTTCGGGAATTTAGAGGCGGCTTAGGGGGTAGTTAAGACTGTGGGTCTCTTGTGAGCTGTTTGTCAAAGTGTTGGGTCATCGCTGCAGTCTTCTGAAGGCTTCACTGACCTGGAGAGTCTGCCTGTAAATCCACTCAAGTATCTGTGAGCAAAAAACAACTCAGTGCCTCAAGGCCAGAGGCCTCAATAATCGGTGGCAGCAGGCTTCCAGAGAGATCAAGATTTGGAACCAGACCAGAGGCTGTAGTATCTGCCACACCCCAGTCTCAAGGTGGCATGCCACCATACCTGAGTCCTTTTGCTATACATTCGATCCCCCTGGTGAGGGGATACAGAAGGGTTAAGTAACCAGAGCAGGAGGACTCATCTACGGTAGAGTACACAAGTAAGCTATAGTGAAACAATTTGTTTTGATAACACTTAGAAACCAGTCTCACAGAAGCAGGTTGACAAAAAATATTTTAAAGCAATCTCAGGAAGCGCAGGGTACTCATTTTTAAAAAAACGTTAAGTGGTCCGGGCAGTGACAGTGCACACCTTTAATCCCAGCACGTGGGAGGCAGTGGCAGGCAGATGTCTGTGAGTTCGAAGCCAGCCTGGTCTACAGAGCAAGCTCCAGGGCAGCTGGGGCTACACAGAGAAACCCTGTCTCAACAAAACAAAAACAACCAAACCAAAACAAAACAAACAAGCCAACTCCTAATCCCTTCAGAAAAAAAAAAAAATTAATGGAAAGCTCTATAAACTGTGCTTTTTAAGATTTTTGTTTTCAATCTTTCATTAGTGGTCACTTGAAATATTTTATATCCAAAATTATTGTAAAATCTAAAGTAGTTGTGGTAGTTTGAATGTAATTGGTCCCTAGAGACCCACAGGGAGTGGCACTATTAGGAGGTGTGGCCTCATTGGAGTAGGCGTGGCCTCATTAGAGGAAGTATGTCACTGTGGAGGCGGGCTTTGAGGTCTCATATAGGCTCAAGCCAGTGACAGTCCCCTGTGGATCAAGATGTAGAGCTCTCAGCTCCTTCTCCAGCACCATGTCTGCTTGCCTGGACATACTTCCCACCATGACGACAATGGGCTAAACCTCTGCAAATGTAACCAAGTCCCCAGTTAAACGTAAAAGATTTCTTTTAAGAGTTCTGGTCATGGCGTCTCTTCACAGTATTAAAACCCTAACTAAGACAATAGCTTTTAGAGGAAACATGGACTCCTGATTTGTGAAGTTCCCAGTCAGATCTTTTCCTCCTATTTGGTCTTCTGGGATCTGATGGTAATTTTCAAACACTCAATACTATGGCAACCACCTAGCTCATCGACTAGTCTAACTTTACAAGGAGCCCACAAAGGCAAGCTATAGGAACCTCACCTTATAATTGCTACTTTTTGGCTGTTGTTCTTTTGATCTTATCTGCCATTGAAAACATCTGACATTCTTTCCTTGAACAAAAGGTTAAGGTGATTAAAAGAAAGAAGTGGAGGATGGGGTCTGTGTGTGGGGGTGGGGGGTGGGGTGGGGTAGAGGGGATGCTAGCTAACAGCCAAGTAAACCTAAGGTACATATTTATAGAGCTGGCCACCAAACTACTTTCTTATCTTGCAAAAACACCCAAAGTTCACCTGAAGTTCAAATACTTCTGACTGAAATTTTCCCTTTGAAAGCCAGTATATAACCACTTAGCATACAGGAGTCGATTAGCCTGAACGATAAGATCAAACCAAGCGAACTTTTTTTTTTTTGTTTTTGTTTTCAGGAATTTCAGACGTAAGGCATTAGTGTTTAGTCCTCCAAGCCTTTTAGTGCACTACTGTGAATTCGGTTGATGGAGTTCGGCTGACACAGCAAGGCTCTCTCTAACGCTCACATTCTGATGTAAGCTCACAAATCTTTCAAGTTTGGCTGCCTCGTCATTATCAGAGTGCATTATTCCAAAAGCAAGGCGGGACAGCAAACTGCGCACAGCCCTCTAAAATTCATGCATTTTACAGCCCGCTGCGTTTATATCTGCAAGGAAGCTGAAAAATAACTTGTTCCTTGTGTTAGTAGTCAAAGTGTTCACCAGTCTAGGGAAGTTCTTACCTGTCTGAAAGCTGACTGTTCTTCAACAGTTGTCCCACAGATCTTGTACCAACCTACACACTAGACAGACCAGCCTGTACCCTGTGCACACATCAGACTAGGGTGATGAATTCCAAGCATAGAGGCCAGAGGACAAGCTTATGTGTCATTCCTAAAGTGCTATCTCATTCACTCATTCATTCATTCATTCATTCATTCATTCATTCATTCATTCCAGACAGTCTCACTAAATAGATCATGCTGCATTTGCCAGCCATCTCCAGGATCTCCCTGTCTGCTTCTGTAGCACAGGGATTAATTACAAAGGCAGGCTCAGGCTATTGTAGTTCAACTTTTTTATGTGGGCTCTGAGGATCAAACTCCGGTCCTTGAAGTTTAGGGCAGAGCCATCCCCTCCAGCCCTGTCCTGTTTTAACAGCAATGTGAAGTGAGACCTGGTAAGACACTCACAAAGTACTAATTAATGATTATGGTAATCCCGCACAGCTGCTTTACGCAGAGGCCAAATGCATTTCCTCAAACCATCAATTTGTTTTGAACATATTTATGTCATGCATGCAGATACCACATACATTTTACTGCTCACACTGTCCCATTAGCCAATGCTTCTTGGAGAATGATGTGCTATCAACTTCGCTCTTCTTTGTCATCATGGCAAAATTCTGATCTCAGCTATACACTGAGGACTATCGCTTCTCAACCAGACAGGTGCAGACCCATCTTGGACATCTTTGGAATGATGTTAACTGTCGCCATTTAATTTTCTACTGGTGTCAGAGTAAGAAAAACATGTATCCTGATCTTAAAACATCCAGTAAACCCTGCCTTGTTGTTAGTAAATTAGAATTCAAGATAAATATAAATTCCCTAAGAGTTAGGAAGCATTGTCAAGAGCAGGAACTTAAGATAATGAAAATGTACATTCTTTGAGTCCCGAATGGCTGACACAATCATACCATATGCTTTAACAGCCTCCCTGAGCCTGACTAACATGCAGCTTCCCACAGTCCCTGTACCCATCTATAGACGATGCAGATGGGACCAGTCTATACCCCATGCACAGAGCTGCCTGCTAGCCACGAACTTAGAAGCAAACATGACCACAGAAAAGGCAGCTTGGGGATGCTAAAGGCTCCCTCTAGAATTCTTCACTTAGGTTCTCATGGATTGCAACAAACTGTCTAAGGGCCACCCTCTGGGCAGCACGATGCTACAGTGTTTAAACTTCCACTCAGAAGACTAAGATACACATACTGGAATCAGAGTGCAGACAGCAGCTGAGCAGCCAGGCCGCCCAATAAAGCTAAAACATGAATGTAAACAGAAGATAAGAGGATAGAAAAGCAAGCAGGGAACCTGAAAGCTATTTTATAGAAGAATTCAAACTAATCCAGATTCAAAAGGCCCCAAAGTTTTAACGGCAAACCTATCTTGGAATGTGTTTACCCACTATTTTGTGGGATTTATGGTCATCATATAAAGTAGAAAGTATTAACTGTGCTGCCAAAATATAATATACAAAGGATTGAAAAACTCCAAAATTGTTTTATTTGTGTGTGCTACAATATTTGTTCTTACAGGAAATGACTATTAAAATTTTAAAAATCTTTAAGAATATTGCATATGCTTTATTCTTTCTGAAGATCTATCTTAATACCTCATGCTACAGAAATTCAGAGAATGATCTATTTGTATATTTGCTTTTCATGGCTATCACAGAGATGTAAGATCTGGAAGATGTCTAAGAAGCTTCCTTAAATTCTCAAAATCATGTTTAGTTTATGAGATCAGGTTTGACTTTGTGTATCTTACCCGATGAACAGCCACATGGTCATTTTTGCACTTATGAATTTGGCTATGTTTCCCCCGTAAAGTTCTTAACTTTGGGCTTTACCTATTTTGTGACCGTTAGTTAAACGAGATGATTTATAAACCCATTAAACAGTCTTAATTTCAATGCTGTGTGGCAGG